TCATGGTCAAAAGTTGCCACTTCCCGACCTACGGCCTCGTACAGCTATCAATCTCCTGAACAAAGGGAATCGCGAGTCGCGTGACTCCATTCAACGTTTACCCCTTTCTGTTTCGACCATTGCACGAGGTTGAAGATCAACGCTTAGAAACGAATCAACCCTGGCAAGGAGTTCGGTACGTGGTATAAGGAAAACGCAGACTGAAATATACGACTGAAAAGGGATTCCTGAGATTCTTCAGATTTGGAAATTTCAGTGAAATGTAGAAGAGTAGAAAATTGCGTACGATAATTACTCAAATATGACTGAAAGGGGATTCCTGAGATTTGGAAATCCGAGTGAAAAGTGGAGGAATAGAAAATGGCGTACGATATTTGGTTAAAGATCGTTGAAAGAGGATTCTCACGATTCTTGAGATTTGGAAATTTGAGTGAAAAGTAGAAGAGTAGAAAATTGCGTAGGATATTTAGTGAAATATGACTGAAAGGGGATTCCTGAGATTTGGAAATCCGAGTGAAAAGTGGAGGAATAGAAAATGGCGTACGATATTTGGTTAAAGATCGTTGAAAGAGGATTCTCACGATTCTTGAAATTTGGAAATTTGAGTGAAAAGTAGAAGAGTAGAAAATTGCGTACGATAATTACTCAAATATGACTGAAAGGGGATTCCTGAGATTTGGAAATCCGAGTGAAAAGTGGAGGAATAGAAAATGGCGTACGATATTTGGTTAAAGATCGTTGAAAGAGGATTCTCACGATTCTTGAGATTTGGAAATTAAAGTGAAAAGTAGAGGAGTAGAAAGGGGATTCCTGAGATTCTTGAAATTTGAAAATTTCAGTGAAAAGTAGAAGAGTAGAAAATGGCGCCCAACATTCCAGTGTCTTCCTTTTAAGGCGATATTAACCCCTTATTTCACGATGATTCTTGTAGCTACATACATCTACCTTAGCTACTTACAATTTCGACACAATAATTGACATGAATTGAAATTAAAGTTAAAGTTAAGATTCAAGTTTACTTCAAATACAATGCTTCACTTTGTTATATTTTAACTACAATCTGCACCGCGAATGTGACTCGTTATTACAAGGCAAGGGGTTGAAGCAGCGAGTATCTGTCTGGTAATGTACTATATGCAGAGGCAATAAAGAAATCATAAGGCAAGGGGTTAATATTGAAGAGGTTTTGACGTCAAGGAGATTCAGCCACGATATACATAGAACGTAAGTTCTTAACTATAGATTCGGTGTTTCGACATCGTTGCATACCGTCTTCGAGAAATCTCAGGTGTTGTAACATTCTGAGACTTTCTGCCATTCAATCGTCCCGAAGCTATTTAAATAGAATATAATTCTATTAATGGAGGTTCTCCGCGAAGTTAATTCGAAACCATCGAGATCGCGTTAATACGATCAATTTTACTTGCTTGGAAATTCTTCAACTGTTCAATTAAACGTTAATTAAAACTCCAATCGAATATTCTATGTGGTCACTGATCATTCTGAAAGTCTTCTTTCAAATTTATCAACATCTTGAAGTCCCTTCGAACTTCAATCTCGTTACGAAGTTTTCGATCAAAAGTTAACTCTGGCAATTCGCAAATTGTTGTAAGGTTTGATTTAATTTTAATTTTTAAAAATGACAACTGTGATTTGTATGCAATTCTTATCGATTTTCTGACATAAAAACAAATTATCAGCAAGCTAAAGGGGTTACTTGATGAAAGAAACCCAAAGTTCATAATTTTGTGGACACTTTTTTACCCTCTCTTGAGCTTCCTCAGAAGTTTCTCCTACTTCAAATAGCAGTGCACACTTTGGTCGTGTGTACTCGAGGCAACTGGAAGCTCCTTGAAGCCATCGCTGGCCGGGGTTCACGAACGAAAATAAACGAAAGTGCATCGCACAGGTATAGTTCTTCATACGCGGTGATCCTATTGTAATCGTACTCGCGGATCCTCCGCACGAAAGCTCGAAATCGTAGAGAAAACCCTTCGATCGTTCATCGTCGCCTTGAAAACCGGAGAAAATGGCGTACTACGATACGACACGAAAGAGATTCTTGAGAATTTAACTAAATATCGTACGCCATTTTCTACTCTTCTACTTTTCACTCAAATTTCCAAATCTCAAGAATCCTCTTTCAATGTTTTTTAACTAAATATCCTACGCCATTTTTTATTCTCCTATTTTTCACTTTCAGTCTTATTTAACTAAATATCTACTTCCCATTCAAATTTCCAAAACTCAAGAATTCCGCGCCATTTTCTATTCCTTCACTTTCCACTCAAATTTCCAAATCTCAAGAATCCCCTTTCAGTCTTATTTAACTAACTATCCCACACAATATTCTACTCTTCTATTTTTCACTCAAATTTCCAAAACTCAAGAATCTCAGGAATCCCCTATCAGTCTCGTTTAATCTGTTCTCCATCTTTCCACTCAAAGTTCCAAATCTCAAGAATCAATCTTACTCAACAATTAAACCCATTCAAACTTCTCTAACCATCTGAAACACCCCAAAAAATCACGTTAATTCCATCGCTTGTTCACGAATCTTGCTCGAGTTCCGCGTCGCGGCCATCGCTAGCCGCTTTCCGCTCGGCCTGGCGAGAGCGGGAGACACAGCTTCGATCCGCGTGTGTCCGTGTGCCTGCGTGTGGTATACGCGAGCAAGGGACCATCTCTGTCTTTCTCGAAACGGATGAACAAAGACGGGGGAAAGCTCATTGGAAGGGAACAAGAAGGGAGAGCGAGAGAGAGAGAAAGAAAGAGATAGAGCGTAAGGGGGAACGAGGAGGGACAGAGCCGCAAATAGATTGGCGAAAAAAAGATGGAGAAGGACGGGGCTAAAATGGCGGGGAGCAAGCAAGCAACGTGGAGAACGTAGGAAAGAACTGGCAAACTCGCAACCGGACTATAAAACTTCGTACAAAACGAAGGCAACAAGCAAACCACGGAACGATCAGTTTGCTCGTTCGTATATGTACACCTCTGACGAGAGCTTTGTCATTCCTATTCCACTTTCTCCCGCGTCTCTCTCTCGTTTGTCGTTCTTTCCATCGATTTTTCGCAAACTCAATCGAACGTGTGTGCCCACACGCTTGTATCATTTAAATAAAAGATCCTCGTTCAAGTTCGGGAAAAACTTCTTTTCTTCTTCTTTTTTCCTTCGTCGAGCATCTCTCCTTTTTTTTTTTTTTCGGTTCGATATTTCCCGGCAAGCCCCACCGCCGGTGGTTATCACCGTGCAAATGAAATATTCAACGTGTCCGGCTTCGTGCGCGGTTCGAGAATTTCTCTCCGTTCTGTCTTCGCTCGGGTTCTATACGCCTGTTTCACCGTATTGGACGATGGCCGAGGTGTGGGTTCGTGGAAAAGTAGGGGGAATGTTGGCGGATCAATGTGTGAAGGAATTATTAGTTCCGAAGGGGTATTTAGAGTCTTGATTAGGAAGCGTTCTTCGAGCATTCCTTTTTTCATTTTTCAACCATGCGCGTGAATGTTTGCGCGTGTGTGTACTACGGTTAGTCTGACAAAATGGACGAATACAGTTGCAGTAGTGTGAATTAAAATATCTTCAAGTGGACTGTATACCAAGATCCATCGTTGGGATCTAATTTTTTGTTATTTCTAAAACGAGGACTAATTTGTAAATTATATAGAATTGGCCGGAGAGAATGTTTTTAACCCTCCTGAGGGTCAATATAGGAAGAAATACGTTAAAAAGTTATTTCTAATTTTTTTTTAGTTCTAAAACAATTTGAAAATTATATAGTATTCAGTGGAAAGGAAGTTTTTTACCCTCTGAGGGTCGATATAGGAGGAAATATGCTAAAAAGAGAAATACTGATACTTTATAAATACCTGCCGGTTGTGCAATATCAATTACGTATTACACCGATACATTTTTTTAGCAAGAGTGCTCCACAATTCAAGAACTAAAGGTGGTTTCGTTTCAAATCCAGAGAGAGTCACTAGTGAAAGTAATATGAAATAATGATTTCGTAATAAAACCACTGGAGTGCAAAGAGTTAAAGAATTACCAACTAAGGTCGATAAAGAAGATTTTAGAAAAATTGACAAAGAATCTTGTATTAGAAACATTAATAATGTTAAACTGAACGATGGTTCCTTATACAAGGTGTCTCACTGATAGCGAACATCCAAATTATTTCCGTTGCTACCTGAATGAAAGAAAACACGACAACAGGTGTTTACACTAAAAAAG